TCGCACCTCTGACGTGCAAGATTTCTCTAGGGCAGTGCTGTTCCTATAGAACTTCTTTCCCTCCTCCTTTAGACTCTCACCACATCTCTTCAAAAGATCATTAACAACTGCAATTCTTTAGGAAAGCATATAAATTAAACTGTTAATAATTTTCACCTTGGTAACCCACCCTGCTTTCTTACCTGCAACTGTGTCATCCAATAAACTAACCCTTCATTGTAAACTATTTTAACCTATTTCTTCCTGTACATGAAATACATCCTACCCTTACCTCTTATGCCACTTTACCTACCTCTAGAATGTAAACTCATTTGAGCAGTACCCTTAACAGCCTCTGTTCCTGTGAGTCCAACTCGTCTTGTTGCAAATACATGTCTGTTAGTCCAGCTATTCTATAGCACTATGGAATTTGTTGCTGCTTTATAAATATTAATTGCTACAATGGCACCTGTCAAGAGATGGGTTATATTAGGCAGCAAGGAAAAATGGGCAAGCAAAGAGATCTGATTGACTTTGACAACGGTCAAATAGTGATGGCTAGACAACTAGCTCAGAGAATCTCCAAAATGGCAAGTCTTATGGGGTGTTCCCGGTTCTAAAACTGAAGCAATGAAGGACAACCAGTGAACCGGTGTTTGGGTCATGGGTGCCCAAAGCTCACTGATGCATGTGGGGAGCAAAGCCAATTGTCCAATCACACAGAAGTGCTACTGTGGCTCAAATTGCTAAAAAACATAATGCTGGCCATGACAGGAAGGTGTCAGCACACACACAGTACATCACAGTTTACTGTATTTGGTGCTGCATAGCTACAGACTGGTCATAGTGCCAAAAGTACCTTCAATTGAGACTTAAATCTTGGTCTGATGAATCACATTCTTTTAGAGCAGGTGGATGGATAGGTGGATGTGTGTCGTTTACTTTGGGAAGATATGGCAGCATAATGCACTATGGGAAGAAGGTAGGCTAGCAGAGGCAGTGTTATGCTTTGGGAAATGTTCTACTGCCGCCTTATCTTCTTGGAATCACTGGAAATGGTAACCCTAATGGGAAATTTGTACTCATGATTGTGCCTTGATTGTAAGACTTTTACACATTTTTAATTTCACTTTTAACATTTATTTCTTAAATAAACAGTATTATGTTATGCTACATTTTTATTTCCTTTTTTTCTTTAAGGTGCATTGCGTTCCTAAAACTTAAAGGGTTGTTCTAACCCTTTGCAACTATAAACCTGCGTTCACTTTTGGGCATTGCCATTTTCTGCCAACCCATCAGATTGGTATTTGTAACCAGGTCAATTGACTGAATTGACGCTATTTAGATTTATGACGTAGATTGATACATATCAGTCCTTAAATATTATAGTATATATGTGAGATTTTCCAAACATATTCTGTGGTTATTATTGGAGATACAGAAATATAAATATATATATATATATATATATATATATTTCTGTAAGTTTCAGCTGCTTGTATTTCTGTGGGGAATTCAGTTGTCTGAAATATAGATATTGTGTAGGTTTTTGTTTTTTTTAACATTTGAATTTTTATTGAATGTACAGTATCTCACAAAAGTGTCTCACAAACAAGTATGTACACCCCTCACATTTCCACTTAGGGGTGTACTCATTTTTGGTGCCAACGGTTTAGACATTAATGGCTGCGTGTAAAGTTATTTTGAGGGGACAGCAAATTTGCACTGTTATACAGGATGTACACTTACTACTTTACATTGTAGCGGAGTGTCATTTCTTCAGTGTTGTCACATGAAAAGATATAAAATATTTACAAAAATGTGAGCGGTGTACTCTCTTTTTGTATTCCTCCCTATACAATATACAGTATCTCACAAAAGTAAGAGGGGAGGGTGAGGAGGGGTGAAATCATTTTGGCATACATCACAATATCTGGTGTAAAGTAACAAACTTAGATAGTGGTATACAATGAGATATGATAAGCGGTTGAACTACAGAAGGCCTTCCAATTAGTCACTGATAACTTGCATTTCGTGTGAAAGTATAGATCTTTCGTTGTAATGTGTCCAGCAGGCGTTGTGGTTTGGGATGGGAAATCAAAAATTAAAATTCTTGCCAAACCTATACCTGATCTTCAGGTTTGCCGTATATTAATAATTTTTGGTGGGATATGTGGTATTTATGAGAGCGGGTATATTTGCGTCTGGAACTGGTTTTCTTGATGCGAGGCCCACAAAGGGGTCATGTCGTTGGTAGAGATGCATTGGAATCATGAAATGTCTCTCTTAATGCCTTGGACTACGGTGTAGCTGCACACCCGGTTTGTGCAGCCACATATTCCATGACGTAATGTGGAATGTGGGGGGTGTGAGCAGGTATGATACTGGTATAAACATGGAGATGGGTTTACATCTGATTATGGTATTGGTAAAATAAGAAAGTTGTATACGACATAGCATGTTAGTTATGCAGGCCCAGTTTAAGAGTCCATTGGGCCTGGTGCTTACAATTATGATGGGCCTAATTACAGAATATTATAGACAGAAAACACTTAAACAGTTATACCTCCCATGCATCATATAATCTGGTAGAGGTGGTGCTGGAGGGAAACTCACAGAAAACACATACCCTATGCTAATCTCTCGCCTTCATCTGTCAAGTAAATCCATAACCCATAATAGCAGTGTCGGGTAAACAGGATTTGGGCGGTGTAAAAGGGTGGGCCACTGATGTGAATAACGTAACCAGAACCGCCCATAGGGACAAACATGTCTAAAAGGGGGGCATGTCTGCACAAAGAATTAGATGGTCAGCCTGAAATGAATGCACGTTAGTCAAGAGGTATGTAGTGGCTGTCTACCTGAATTGGTCTGGGTGCCTACAGTGTCCCTTTAAGCAAGAGCATGTGAAGAGTAGTAAAAAAAAATATATAAAAAAATGTTTTTTAAATAAATGGGCCTATTCCATGGGCATGGTCATGGAGCTGCATCTCCATCAGCCCCTATGTTTATCCGGCCCTTAGTTTATGTATGCATAACACTTTTAAGGCATGGTGTAGGGTGTTTTTTTTTTTTTTTTTTAAATATATATCTATACACTTTTCAGTTGCATTTTTCTCTTAGGTGTTAGCAGTGTTTGACAGTATAATCTTCTGTTTGCAATATGGTGTATTAAAAGAGTATGGTGCAAGAGTGCCTGGGTGCAGTCTCCCCATCACAGGTTAAATTTATTTTTAGTCTGAAGTTGTTCCCCAGCACCTGGCACTGTTGAGCCCTCGCTTCCTTCCTCTTTGCCACTGCTGCCTGTGAAGACAGCTGGGAAGCTAAGACGGCAAGAAAGGTAATACTCTAGCCCCATAGCAATTTCAATTGAAATTTTAATTGGGGTGGGAATCTCTCTTTAAATGTGGCGAGTTACTTAGATGGACTATGTAATATAAATTTTCCATTAACATCATTATTAATCTGTATCTACCAAATACTGAGACCCTGTAAATGGATGCATGCGACATTTCTTTTAAATATCGATTTAATTACATAAAAAACAAAAAACAGCAAACTGAAATTACCTATCATTTTAGACTATAATAATAAAAATGAAAAAAAAAATATTGTTAGACACATGGTTATATTAAAGGAAGATAATGTCCTCAAAAACATAATACCCGACAAACCGTATTTTGAATTCAGAGGTGCTCCAAGATTGAAAACTTTACTAACAAGAAAATGACACAAGAAAACCATCACAACAATAAAAAAAGTGTTTTGTTTTTAAAAAAATTTTTAAAAAATTAATTTTTTATTTTTTATAATTCTTTATTTTTGCGTTGACAGACAATACAGCTTGTAAATAGAACTTGGGCTTGTGCAAAAGCAGAGTTTCATGAGGTACAATAGAACTGCAATGGTACAGAAAGAAGACAATGATTTGGTTAGAGGAAAAAGAAAATCTTTTTAATGTAAATCTTGCGTAGATTGCAGAATGTGTGATAAATCTAATCATATAGTACCTCATTTTAAATCAAAGCATACATAAAAAAATTATGATGTTGATGTAAAAAATGTTATTAGCTGCAACTCAAGAAACATGATATACCTCTTGAACTGCTCGTAGGGTTACAATATATAGGAATGACCACCTTTCCATTTTCCATTTCAAGCTTAAATCATAATACTAACTACATTACCTACTCTACCAATTTAAATGATATACCTGGTCACATGATAAGCCAGCGCCATCTTTCACCTCTTAATTGAGCTTACAAATGTTAAATAAAAAAAAAAAATAATGTTTGGTTTAATATTTTTTTTTACATCTATTCAAGCTCAAATTTTCTGTAATTTTTTAATAGTAAGTTCACAAGTAGAGTTGAGCGGACACCTGTATGTTCAGGTCCGGTGGGTTCGGCCGAACTTTGAAAAAAAAAGTCCGGGTTCGGGCTGAAGTCAATGGGGACCCGAACTCCTGGAAAGAGCTAGAGGGCTGCAAAAGGAAGTAAAATGGGGGTAAGAGAAGGACAAGTGCCCTGAAAACAAATGTGGATAGGGAAATAAAATATCATAAAAATTAAAAATACAGCTGAGCCATAAAATAGCACTAGATAGAATCTTTGATTTTAGATTTGGAAGAACATAAATCAAAATCTAAAGCATAGCTGTCAGGAGGATAACCGGAATTATCCATTTGAGAGAGGGTTGGAGTGCAGGGTATTCTCTTTCATTGTTCAAACTGAGTTCAACTCCTGATGCATGGAGAAAAGGCCTTCACAAGCCTCTGCTACTGTGTACATAGTTTATACTAAGTGACCCATAGGTTGAGGAGCCGGTAACCGTGGCGGTGTAGGTGGAAGCAGCGGTGGAGGAGGAGGATGAGGTAGCCAACACTGTTTTTTATATATATATTTTTTAATTGGGGTGGCCCCCAAAATATTGGGACATATAAAAAAAAAAGACAACTCTGTTCCGCAGAGTAGCTGTTGACATTATAGTTGCGCAGGCACTTTGTTGACTCTAGAGAACCTCGGGCCAATTGCACATCCCTATGATGGCGACTTTGCATCCGTAAGTCATCCATAGCAACGTTCAATGCCAGTTTCTGCGTCTTCCATGGTGACTACGGGTAACTGGGAATCAGGGTTCCATTCCGTACAGGGACCCTGAGAAATGGCTACCACATGCAAGGAAGGCAGCAGGCGCGCAAATGACCCACTCCCGATGCGGGAAGGTAGTGTCAACAAATAACAATATAGGACTCTTTATTTATACTAAGTGACCCATAGGTTGAGGAGGCGGTGACCATGGCGGTGTAGGTGGAAGCGGCGGTGGAGGAGGAGGAGGTAGCCAACACTATTTTTTATTATTATTATTTAATTTAAATTTTTTTATTGGGGTAGCCCCAACAAGTCTGGTTCGATCCATGCCTGGTTCATTTTAATAAATGTGAGCTTGTCCATGTTAGCTGTGGACAGGTTCGGCTGCGCTTGTCTGTGATAACGCCCCCTGCCATGCTAAACACACGTTCAGACAATACACTGGCTGCAGGCCTATCAGTCAGTACATGTAGGAGTGTGAACACATACTGTTCCACCATGTTGCTGAAATGCTGCCTCCTGCTTAGACGTTCCATATCAGATAGTGGTGCTGGTTGTTGTGGAGTGCTGACAAAGCTTTTCCACATTTCGGACATGCTAATCCTGCCTTCTGAGGTGCTGGCGATGCCCCAGCTGCGTTGGCGACCTCTTCCTCCTCCTCTGCCTTCGCCTTGTGCTTCCATTGAGCCCCCGGTGTCAGTTGGGAATGCCCTCAGCAGCGCGTCTACCAGCATGCGCTTGTAGTAGCACATCTTCCGATCACACTCCAGTGAGGGAATTAAGGACGGCACGTTGTCCTTGTAACGGGGATCCAGCAGGGTGGCCACCCAGTAATCAGCACGAGTTAGAATGTGGGCAACTCGGCAGTTGGTGCGCAGGCACTGCAGCATGTAGTCGTTCATGTGTGCCAGGCTGCCCAGAGGCAAGGACAAGCTGTCCTCTGTGGGAGGTGTATCATCTGTGTCCTCCATATCCCCCCAGCCACGCTTCAGTGATGCCCACGAGCTGCATTCGGTGCCACCCTGCTGTGAACACGGTTCCTCCTCCTCCTCTTCATTATCCTCTTCCTCTTCATCCTCCAGAACTGTGCCCTGGCTGGACAATTGTGTACCTGGCCTATGCTGGTGCAGGAACCCACCATCCAAGCCACTTGTGAATGACTAGCCTGATAACCGTGGAAATGACCCCTCTTCCTCCTGTGCCACATCCTCTTCCATCATCACCCAAAGCGTTTTTTCAAGGAGACATATGTTGGTGGAGTACTCGAAACAGTGCAAAATGGCACACAGGTCTCGCATGGAGGCCCACTCATTGGTGGTGAAGTGGTGCTGTTTCGCAGAGCGAGTGACCCGTGCGTGCTGCAGCTGAAACTCCACTATCGTCTGCTGCTGCTCTCACAGTCTCTCCAGCATGTGCAAGGTGGAGTTCCACCTTGTGGGCACGTTGCATATGAGGCGGTGAGCGGGAAGGCTGAAGTTATGCTGCAGCGCAGACAGGCGAGCAGCAGCAGGGTGAGAACGCAGAAAGCGCGCACAGTCGGCCCACACTTTCTGCAGCAGCTCTGATATATCTGGGTAGTTTTTCAGGAATTTCTGCACTACCAAATTCAGCACATGTGCCAGGCAAGGGATGTGCGTCAAACCAGCTAGGCCCAGAGCTGCTACAAGATTTCGCCCATTATCGCACACCACCAGGTCGGGCTTGAGGCTCAGTAGCAACAACCACTCTGTTGTTCCATGCCCGTCCACAGCTCCTGCGTGGTGTGGGTTTTTTCCCCCAAACATATGAGTTTTAAAACAGCCTGCTGTCGTTTCCCCCTGGCTGTGCTGAAGTTGGTGGTGAAGGTGTTACGCTGACCGGATGAGGAGGTGGTAGAGGAGGAGGAAGCGGAGTAGGAGGCAACAGGAGGCAAAGAGAAATGCCCTGCAATCCTCGGTGGTGGAAGGACATGCGCCAAACTGTTATGTGGACCTTGCCACATATGGTGTTGCTCAGTGCACACCTGATTTTGTCCGCCCATTGGTTGTGCAGGGAAGGCATGGCTTGCCTGGAAAAGTAGTGGCGGCTGGGAACCATGTACTGTGGGACAGCCACCGCTATCAGGTTTTTAAAATGGTCAGTCTCCACCAGACGGAATGACAGCATTTCAAAGGCCACAAATTTTGAAATGCTGGCATTCAGGGCCAAGGATCGCGGGTGGGTAGGCGGGCACTTCCTCTTTCTCTCCAGTGTTTGGGAGATGGACAGCTGAATGCTTCCATGGGACAGTGTGGAGATGCTTGGGGACGGTGGCGGATGTGGTGGCATTGCTGCCACATCCTCTGTTTGCGGGGTGGCAGGTGCCACTGTGACTCCAGAGGTGGAGGAAGAGGCCAAGACAGCAGCAGAAGAGGAAGCAGGAGGAGCCTGAGACCTTTCTTGTTTTTTTAGGTGCTTACTCCACTGCATGCTTTGCATGTAGATGCCTGGTCATGCAGGTTGTGCTCAGGTTTAGCACGTTTATGCCTCGCTTTAAGCCTCTGATTGCACAGCGTGCAAACTACTAGTGTCTATCATCAGCACCTCGTCTGAAGAACTGCCACGCCAGGGAACTCCTTGGTGCTGGCTTTGGTGTACTCGGTCGCTGGGTGCGGTGGGCAGTAGCAGGCGTACTGTCTAGGGGGCGGCCGCTCCCCCTTTGCACCCTGCTCCCTCTTATGCTGTGCTGGTGCCTCTGTGCGACCACCACCTCTTCCTCCAAACTGCACACGTCACTCGCATGACCTTGATTCCATGTGGGGTCTAGGACCTCATCATCCTCAACATCATCTTCCACCCACTCCTCAACCCTGCCCTCCTTGCCGGTCTGCACACTGCAGAAAGCCACATCAGTTGGCAACTGTGTTTCGTCAGCATCAGAGACGTGCTGCGGTGGTCCTCGAATGTCCACATCCTGGCACATAAGTGGTTGTGCATCAGTGCACTCAATCTCTTCCACTTCTGAGGCAGGGCTAGGTGGATGGCCCACGGAAACCCCGCCAGCAAAGTCATCAAAAAGCATAAGAGACTGCTGCATGACTTGTGGCTCAGACTGCTTGGGAGAGGTGAAAGACAGATGGCCATGGGCTGCAGGTGCAAACTCTGAGCTTTCAGCAGGGGACCGGGTGGGAGACAATGTGAAGGAACTGGAGGCACTGTCAGCCACCCAATCTACTATTGCCTGTACTTGTTCTGGCCTCACCATTCGTAGAGCGGCATTCGGGCCTACCAAATAACGCTGAAGGTTCTGTTGCGTACTTGCACCTGAGGAAGGTGTTTTACTTGTGCGTGTAGCTGGCACAGATCGACCACGTCCTCTGCCTGCAACAGGAGCTCCACCAACACCACGACCAGGGCCACGTCCCTTATTTCACGCTCTCCTCATTCTTTGCGTTCACCCACCAAACTAACAGATGGTTTATTTCAGGCGACAATGTAACCGCCAATAGTCAACAATTTATTTTTTTTAAGTTTATTGGACTGCAAGAAATGCACCGCAGGCCGCAAATGTACTTTTTAGCACCAAAAAAATTTTAATTTTTCAAAGTGCGATGTAACCACAGTATTTGACGGTTCTATTTGACTCTCAGATATAAAGTGCAGGCCGCAAATGTACTTTTTAGCACCAAACAAATGTGAATTAGTCAAACTGCAGAATAGTCAAAACCTGTCTACTGACATCATCAGAAGTGGAGGCCTGATCCAATCACAGTGCTTCCCCATAGGATTGGCTGAGACTGACAAGGAGGCAGATCAGGGGCAGAGCCAGCATGCCCTGGCCAGTCAGCATCTCCTAATAGAGATGAATTAAATCAATTAATCTCTGAGGAAAGTTCAGTGTATGCATGCAGAGAGGGAGGAGACACTGAATGTTTGGATGCATTTTAGGCAGCCATGACCCAGGAAGGATCTCTAACAGCCATCTGAGGAGTGGCCAGTGAAATTATCACTAGGCTGTAATGTAAAAACTGCATTTTCTCTGAAAAGACAGTGTTTACAGCAAAAAGCCTGAAGGTAATGATTCTACTCACCAGAACAAATTCAAAAAGCTGTAGTTGTTCTGGTAACTATAGTGTCCTTTTAAGTTCCTCTCCCCCAGTCCGTGCTTGGCCACGCTACAAGTGGGTGAGGAGACTGATGAAGGGAGAGGAGGAGAGGGGTGATAGGGGAGAAATGAGACACATTGGGGGGAAATGGGGGAATGAGACACATTGTGGGGGGGTCTGGGGAAATGAGACACATTGGGGAGCTGGGGAATGAGGCACATTGGGGAGCTGGATGAATGTGACACGCTAGGGGAGCTGGATGAATGTGACAAATTGGGGGAGCTGGGGAAAGTGACAAATTGGGGGAGCTGGAGGAAAGTGACACATTGGGGGAGCTGTGGGAATGAAACACGTGGAGGGGCTTGATGGAGAAAATGAGACACATGGAATGGAGGGGCTGGGGGGAATGAGACACATGGCAGAGCTGTGGGGGGGGGGACACACACAAAGAGACATGGAGGCTGAGGGAGAAAGAGACCCACACACACAGACGTGTAGCCAAAAATCCTTCCACCAACCCTGATTGCACCCCAAAAAATAGTAGTAGTATCCTCTATCTTGCACCATCCTGCCTATCCTTGGTACTTAACGAATCTACTTGAACTTCAAACTCATGGGTAGGGAGTTTACCAACAGAGCCATATGGAATGAGCGAAACCTTACTTTGCTCTTGAGCTAGTAAGTGAATTTTAATTTGTTCCATTATCTCACCAATACAGTGTGTACTATATTGCTGTTTTTTACCTTCATATATACCACAGAGAGGACACCGCACCACCTATATCCTTTAAGTGGGGATTATACCACTCCACTCTATAAAATAAGAGCTATATACAGGGCTCCAATAAATGTGAGTGCATTTCCTATTTTGCGTGTTCATACCTGCCACTAGCAGTGTAACATACTACACTATATAGATTTATATAACTTTATTTTTACCCTGAAGTTGTTCTCCAGCACCTAGCACTGCTACGTGTGAAATCAGCTGGAAAACTATTTAATCCCTCAAGGCAAGACGGTATCTAGATACTCTTGCCCACATAATTTAAATTTACTGAAGTTGTTATGGAGGTGGA